ACACACATGCTCGTATAATACCGTATTCGACGTAATAAGCGCCCCGCTCTAATAGGCGCCCACGGCGATATTTGTTAATATATTGGCTAGTGAAACATTCCAATTAGCACCCCTTCCGATTGATCAATGTACATAAGACTTATTTATTCGTGTATAATACGCACTTGTGTGTTATATGCACCCTTAATTATGGGCAATTAAATTCTGGAAAAATATATCTGTCGTATATAAACATATAAATATTCAGGCTGTCAGCATAAACCGCGAAATTTATCTTTCAACTCTGTTTTTTTCTTCACCAAAATACTATTCCAATAAGAGCCCCCTATTTCTAATTTTGAGAGCGCCCTGGGCGCTTATTACGTCGAATTCGGTAATCTCCATTTATCAAGCACAAGTTTACTTCGGACAGGTTGTTTGTTTTTGAATGCAGCGTAAAACAACACTCACTCACTCTAACTCTTACTTGTGCAGGGCACGGGTTGTCCAGTCGTCTGAAGTGCCACAATTTGCTGTGCAGAGTTGCGTCTCTTGGGCACACCAGAAACCTATGATCTCGGGTTCAAATCCTGGTTCGCCCCGACAATGTTTCTAGGTTTGTCAGCACCATGGCTTCCGTGTTCATGCCACCAATGATTGGTTTCTTGGCCCAGGATTGACTGTTTCCTGAATGCCATGACATAGCTGGACTATTGTTTATTGTAGCATCATTAGTATTCTGTTTCCCTCTTAGTCTGACCGCCTCCGTGGTCTAGTGGTAGAGCGTCCGCCCGGAGAGCGGAAGGTCCGGGGCTCGATCCCCGGTCGCGTTAAAAGACGTTAGAAGATGGTACTTGTTGTTACCCTGTCTGGCGCTCGCCATTAAGGGGTTAAAACAAGGACTGGTCGGCTCGGAGTCAGTATACTGTGTCTGAGTGGGGTATTCATGTTAAACTAAGGCATGGTATCTCAGTTGGCTAGCACTATAAATCGGCATCAGTCCGGACTAGTACAAGCAGCCACACACATATATGTGCAATAATCTTGGACGCGACTTAAACCCTATTTCACCTCACCTCACCACCTCTTAGTCTGAGCAGTGTGTCAGAGTTGCATCCCTTGAGTGTGTCAGGATCCTTTTATCGAATCCCAGATCTGCCCTCATCATTATTCTTGGTTTTCACACATATGAAACAAAGATTATGTTAGTCCTTCCTCCCCATTATGCCGACATGCTCTCACACTCACTCGTGACCCTATGATCGTCGCCATTGATTTGATAATTTGAAATTAAATAAAACATTTTGATTAAGCTACCGACCTGACTTGTAGGGCCAAAAATCTGTAAGCCCTCCCATAAAAAAGCCTGACCTTAGATGGCTAAAGGATATGAACTGTGCTTAAAAATGATGCGTCTAATGTGTGTAATTTATTTCATGAGAGATAGTCAATAAAAACAAATTTGCTCAAAATCCACCAAAGTTAATTTTTGAGATCTAGTGTCATATCAATATTTGCTGGTCATGTAACCTTTGACCTTCATGATGACCCACTCGTCTGATCTCACTGGAGGTGAGGTGAATGGTTTAACGTCGCGTCCAATATTATTGCACTTATATAGCAACGTGTGTGGGGGTGTGTGTCTGTCAGTCTGGCTGTCTATGTGTGAGTGTCTGTCTGTCTCTGCGTGTACTAGTCCGGACTGATGCCGATTTTATAGTGCTAGCTGTTTATCATTAATACCCCACTCAGACACAGTTTACGAACTCCGAGCCGACCAGTCCTGGTTTTAGCCCCTTAATGCCGAGTGACAGGCAGGGTAACAACAAGTACCTTATTTTAACGTCGTTTGTTATGACGCGGCCGGGGATCGAACCCCGACCATCGCCGCTTAGAGTGGACACTCTACCACTAGACCACGGATGCGGTTTGATCCCACTGGGCCTTTGTGTACCACTGAAGTCGCTACCGTCATATTGCGATGGGGTGAAATGTTCATGTGATTTGCAGTTGTTAGGATTAAAACTAATCCTCAGTTCCTGGTGTTAACATCCAAAGAAGTGCGAGGTAATAAAAAGACACTTGGCTTGGAGTGAGTGAGTGAGTGAGTGAGTTGGGTTTAACGCCGTTTTTAACAGTATTCCAGTCATATCACGGCGTGTCAGCTTAATGTGGGAGGAAAGCCCGAAGTGATGCAGGTCTCAGACGTTCACCACTTCGGTGAAACCCACGAGCACGGGTATGGTGCTGACAAACCTAGAAACATAATCGGGGCGAACCGGGATTCGAATCCACAATCATAGGTTTCTGGCGAGCCCAAGGTACGCAACTCTGCACAGCGAATCGCGGCGCCTTAGACGACTGGGCCACCCGTGCCCCCACTTGGCTTGGAACAATTTGTCATCCTATCAAGTTTCGCATAATGTTATCGGCATTTTGTCTAACAAATATGACAAGTAACACATATGAATTCCAGTCTAGAATGGTCCCAAGTAGGGCAGGGTCGGGTAACTCGGTTACTCGGGTCCGGTGGGTCATGAGTAGGACGCGGGTACCCACAGGACTACCCGGACCCGTGGTTAGTAATGTGAGCTGTTGTTTAATGACATAAAACTCACTATAGCTCAGTGGTTACACTACATGTCTCTAATGTTCACATTTCTTTCAGACGATACATCAATTCCTTTTGACTTGTTTATGTTTGAGTAAAGATAACGCTTCAGTCAGCTTCCGCGTACGCATGATCAGATCGTTTGATACATGTATCTAAATAGTTACTGCCTGGGCTGCGGTGAAACAATTCCCAATCACACATCTTGTTCCCAACTCTTGAGACCAGCAGTGGGTACCCGTGTAGGGTCGGGTAATAGGGGGTCGGATACTCGGGTAGTAGATTTGGACTCGTCCCAAACATAGTCCCCAGTTATATGAGTGAGTGAGAGAGTATGGTTTTACGCAGCTTTTAGCAATATTCCAGCATTATCACGGCGGGGACACCATAAATGGGCTTCGCACATTGTACCCATGTCTGGAATCGAACCCGGGTCTTCGGCGTGACGAGCGAACGCTTTAACCACTAGGCTACCCGACCGCCCCTCCCCATTTGGGGGTGAATAGAGAGTGAAAGAATTTGGGTTTAACGAGGCTTTGAACAGTACTCCAGTTATATTATGGCGTGTCAGCTTGATGTGGGAGGAAAGCATAAAGAGATGCAGGTCTCAGACGTTTACCACTTTACTGAAACCAACAAACATGGGATTAGTACTTACAAATCTGGAAACTATATCAATCACTGGTCTGTGTCATCCAGACCTGATATTATTTACAGGCCTCTTGTGCTAAAACTGGAATATTCCTAACTGTGCCTTATACACACTGGAAATACGGTCCAATGTCAATGTCCACATATAATACTGAAAGACAGGCCTAGCCACAGTGAGCAATGCTCCTGTGAGTGAGGGAGTTTGGTTTTACACCGCTTTTAGCAATATTCCAGAAACATCATTGCAGGGGGACACCAGAAATGGTCTTCACATACTGTACCCATGTAGGGAATCGAACTCAGGCCCTTGCGTGACCAGTAAACACTTTAACCACTAGGCTACCCTACCGCCCCCAATCTTCCAGCCGACCCCTGAAGATCCTGCGTAGAATAGGTCTTCAGCAACCTATGCTTGCCGTAAAAAGGAGACTAACAGGATCGGGTGGTCAGGATGCTGACTTGGTTGATGCATGTCATTGATCCCAATTGTGTGGATTGATGCTCATGATGTCAATCACTGGATTGCCTGTTCCAGACTCGATTATTTACAGACCGCCATCATATAGCTGTCATATTCCCGAGTGCAGCATTAAACAAGTATTTGTCACAGAGTGACGAAATATCCCCCGCCTGTACACCATAGTACCAAATATGAAGACAATCCAGTGATTAGTTCTTGAGATATTGTGGCAACACCGTTTTCCAACTCCAAAAACAGATTTGCCTGCTGTGACCTTGAAAATGGGGTCAAGGTCACCAAATCTGACAGGTGTATGCGGTGTCTGTATATACACTATAGTTCCAAATATGAAGACAATCCAGCGATTAGTTCTTGAGATATCGCGGCAACACCGTTTTCTAACTCCAAAAGCAGATTTGCCTGCTGTGACCTTTAAAATGGGATCAAGGTCACCAAAACCGACTGGTGTCTGCGGAGTCTGTATATACACCATAGTTCCAAATATGAAGACAATCCAGTGTTTAGTTCTTGAGATATCGCGGCAACACCGTTTTCCAACTCTAAAAGCAGATTTGTCTGCTGTGACCTTGAAAATGGGATCAAGGTCACCAAAACCGACTGGTGTCTGCGGAGTCTGTATATACACCATAGTTCCAAATATGAAGACAATCCAGTGTTTAGTTCTTGAGATATCGCGGCAACACCGTTTTCCAACTCTAAAAGCAGATTTGTCTGCTGTGACCTTGAAAATGGGATCAAGGTCACCAAAACCGACTGGTGTCTGCGGAGTCTGTATATACACCATAGTTCCAAATATGAAGACAATCCAGTGTTTAGTTCTTGAGATATCGCGGCAACACCGTTTTCCAACTCTAAAAGCAGATTTGTCTGCTGTGACCTTGAAAATGGGATCAAGGTCACCAAAACCGACTGGTGTCTGCGGAGTCTGTATATACACCATAGTTCCAAATATGAAGACAATCCAGTGTTTAGTTCTTGAGATATCGCGGCAACAAACAGGTGGGACGTACGGACGGACGTACGGACGGACGTACGGACGGTCGTGAATACTATATCCCCCGCTTCGCGCTTTCGCGCGGCGGGGGATAACAACAAACAATCTTCCAGCCACATCAGAGCAGGGGTACGGGCCTCACATTGTATTCATGGGGGATCCAACTCAATCGTCTGCAAGGTGATCCCTCCGTTTACCACCACCAGCACTTCTTGGCTTGCCTGGTAACAGAGCCTGTTCAACTTGTAATACAGAACAAGGAATAACAACAGCAAGTCGACTTATAAGGCTTTGCGTGACTGTTTTATTACATAAAATTAATACCTTCGAGCCACAGAGACAACCGTAGACATCTAGACTGTGGACCCACAACAGATAGACAGGGACGCTGGACGCAGTACATGCACGCGAACATACAGACGCAGGGATGTATATACAATTTGCTCAGCTTCGCCTGCACTATATCCTCAGCACAGCACCTGTCACAACACTCACTTATTTCCTATCATAAAATCCTCATGAGGCCGGACCAATTTTGTTGTTTTACAGGCAAGCCTAAGATGAATAATCTATCAAAATGTAAAAAAATAAAAAATGTTGAGATTTTTTTAAATATGTGATGTTCTGTTTTCAAAGGTTTCATAAGAAATTAATCATATTGCAACTCTGACATCTTAATTTGATTAAGATTTCTAGAGTTGATTTGATTTTTTAATTTTAATTTGCTTCCTGAAATGTCAAATATGGTCCACCCATAGAACGATTATCATTCACAAAGACCAAGAGAAATATTCTTTTTTACTGAAAGTGTTTACCTTAATCTTAAAACAATCGCACAGATATTACGGTGTGCTAGTAAGATTTACATCCCTAACTGGAAAATTATGTAAAAGAAGCTTTGTTATACAAAACTTTCCGCCATGAAAACTTGGCAGGACAGTGTGCTGTGCTGGGACATGGTGAGTTATCTTCCATCTCAAACACAACACACATGCTCCAACGGACTCACTCATTCATCAACATTCTCTCTCTTACTCTCTCCCAATCAGTCTATCTAGCAGCAAGCTGCAAATAAATACAACAGTATGCACAGCTTAACCCTTTCAACAACACATTACCACAACTCTAGTCCAGCCTATAATATTTGTTATCAAAAGGTTAATTCTTACACTTTGGCATGGTCATTTTAAGGTTCATTCTATGAACGTTCAAGTGTTGGTTCGAACAATATTTAGAGTGTAGAACAGATGGATTTGACAATAAGAAATTGATCATTTAGGTGTGTGAAAAGTTTAGTGCTGTCGCTTGCGATCTAGTTGTCACAGGACCTTCTTATGGGGATGTTTACAACTTAAAATGATTATCAACATTTCCATTAAGGAAACAGCCTGGTTAAAATAATTGACTTAAAAGTATAAAATGAAAAACTAAAATGAAGAGTGCATGTGATGTATCAAAATCAAAATTCAAGCCAAATTTATATTCCAAGAAACTATCTCAGGATCAGTACAATAGTAAATTCCTATCAGCGTTCAAGAAATTGACACTTTTTGGATAAAGATTACTTATAAATTAGAATGAATTCCGTATCATTCAACAACTTAATAAGCTTCCAATACACATACAGCACCGTTTAATGGATTTATATACTAGTATTTCACATTATTCAATAAATACCGTCAACAAAAACACTGTTTTTTCTGTGTTTTACTTGTGTGACAAAACCATTGTTAACACAATCTGCAACATTGACCATTAAAGATTGAACTGTTAATTTAACAAAAGTTTGTTCCATATCCAATGTTCCTATTATCAACATCTAAGTTTTAACTTTTCAGTTGATAGTATGTTTAAAAAACTTTTGGTTGTCGACAAATGAATGCATAATGATCAGTTTTAACATAAGTTTCTTGACAAGACTTGAATTTTGATTCTTTCCTCACATTAACATCTCTAAAGAATAAACTCATAAAATCACTTTCATCAAAATGTTAAATGAAATACCCATTTGGGTTTGAAAATAAAACTGACACATTCAACAAATTAAAGCTTGAAAGATGTCACTTAAATGCCATTACTGTCAAATGAGAATGATTTTATCACATGACACATGAAGTTATTACTACAGTCTTACGAAGCAGGTTGTTTGATTCAGTTTGCCCCCCGTCAAGGGCCTTCCTAGGGATCGTAGTAATGAACCAAATAAACAGCACTGTCAAGGTAGTACCTCCCTTTCCCCACAGCTGCTTCCTCACTATACCAATGGTGAAAATATACATACAAACTACCAAATCTGAAGGTGTATGTCATACGAATGAAATGGTTGGGTATATCCAACAGAACATACTTAGTATATCTGGTGGACGACTGTGTTGATATGATAACAAGAGACACTCTGGCGATGGTACGAGAGTTGGCAAGGCAGATGATAACCTCCCCAAAATAAAACAAAATTGAAATTTTAAAATCAAATAAACTGATTTGTTTTCAAATCGAATGAGTTTCATTTAAAAACAAATCAATAAATTGGATTCTAAAAACATCAAATACAATGTACAACTAGTTTGAGATTCCTCAAATATACAAAATTGCCAACAAACAATAATGTACTAAATGCAGGAAAATAAGGACTCTCCACAGATTTGTTGACCTATTGATATCTGGTAATTATCACAAAGCTGAAATTGCAAAATTTAACATTCTACATGTATATCCAAAAGCAATCAAACAAAAAGTTAATACTTGGTTAAAGTATGAATGAATAACACATCCCTTTATCCCATGATAGTTTAAAAACAATGTGGTATTTTGTCAATTTCTCTATGGTGCAATATGGACAAGATATTGCCATAGCTCCATTAACATTTAATTCCCTATTCCTTACTAACTGCAGTATTGTGAACTTCCTGAGTTTGCAAAAATAAAAACAAAAGGTTAACTGTGAAAATTGTAATGTTAACCTGTTAACTAAGTCCCACAGGAGACATGTAGCATACACCTTCAGACCTGCTACAGCTATTCTCATCATCTAACTGAAGCACTTGCTACAGAAGCACACTTATCAAATGACCAACAAAGATATATATTAATAAGTAAGCAAGTTTTAAATATAACGCATATCTACAGGTTGTCACTAGTCAGTGACCAGAGTTGCTATACAGATAAGATAGCACAGCCCAAATTATCAGCCCCAGTTACAGGAAACGACCTGCCTGCCTAAAGTGGGTGGCATACGGACACTTTCAATTGGACCAGGAGTAGACACAGTGGTGCACTGAATCAACTGAATACTTAATTTGTTAAGGGAACACAGAACATCTGATGCTTGTTGATAACAAAATCAAAGAGGAAATTCTGGGAAGGAAGTCAAAACCGCTATTTTCAATCAATAGATTCTAAATGCATTTAAACATTTTTCAAAGATCCTCGTTAGAATGCGAATCAAGAAAATGCTATTTTGCCCTAAAATGAATTAAATATAGAAGCATATTGAAATTTTAACTTATTGGTCAATACATCCCCCATAGCCCAAATTAAAAACAATATATCAAAATTAGAAGAACTGTCTTAGGATACCGATATGGACAACCTTCCTAGAATCTTCAGCTCCAACCACAAGTGAGCAAACATGACCTCCAACCTGTTCCTAGAGCTGACACTTTAGGCTATGAATAGTATTGCACAGTATCCCACAAGGCAACAGGACATCACTGCATTGTGAGAACATCTTGTAAACATCATATGTACACACACAATGACACATTTGTAAAAAATTAAATTAATTTATCCATTGGCGTACACTGGTTGACTAAAACCTCACCTCTTTGACTAGCATTCACTGGAGGAAAACCCATGCTGGGACAAGCATACACGAACAGCCTCTTCATCCAGATAGATAGGAATAATCAGATTTTGACAGCTGAAGAACCATGGCGGTTATCTTTCAAAATATCTGGTGTAGGGAAGGAGTCGGAATATTCAAACTGACATTCTCGTGGTGCCGGTTATCAGTGTGAATATTCCAACTGATAATTCGAGTTCTAGGAATTATCAATCATATAACTGAATTAATCATATTCACGAATGACCTAGATTTGATAACCCAGAAGCGATTTAGTTGATTCCTGGTTGAAAGTGACCATGTCCATCTTACTAAAGCAATGTTTGCAAGATATACCACACACTGCCAATTTCTGTAGCAATGTGACCATATCCATCTTAACATATACCACAAACTGCCAGTTTTAAGAGCAATGTCCATGTTTAAGACATGACTTAGTTAGAAGACAGATCTCAGGCAGCTAAAAGATTTCAACAGGTTCCATGTTAATTATCCAAAGCTAGCAAGGATATGTTTTCCTTCTAATGGTCTAGTGTCCCTTCACTAACATTGACATAAATATCAGACTCTTTAAGTTAGATTACATTTAAATAACAGCAATATAGAGGTTTACCCAAAGGATTCTTCAAACCATTTTTTGTACAGAGCAAAAATGCTACAGTTCTTGACCCAGATAACAAACCGGCAACCAAGCTTATGCATGACATATCAGCCGACTGACACAACTCTGTCCTCACAACTCTGTCCTGTACTGTTAGGAGGAACGATTCACCAGGACGTGATACAATACAATACCCCAATCTGCTTCAATCTGTAATAAAACCAGGCACAAATTGTTGACATCTGCACAAGGTCTACAGATTTTCCTTTTCTGTCAATATATAAGATTTTATTTCAAAATATTGCACCCATTGTGACCTAAGTATCGTGATCTGTATCGTATCGTGACTTCAGTGTATCGTTCCAACTCTCGCTGTAGTAGCATGGTGACACAAGCCAACTTTGTAAGAAGGTCTTGATATATCTACTTCCTAAAAGCCATCTGATTGGGTCTTGAAATCTTATTTAGTTAACAAGGTGTGTAGTCATTATTTAGTCAGCTAAGGTACAACAGAGAAACAATATTCATGACTTTTTCCACGGAATATTTTAATTTAATTTATGTAATATTTTAATCTAATGCTTAGTAATATTTCACTGTTTATAGTTATTTTGTGTTTTACGTCAGTCAGTAAAAAACATCATGATTGTCTTCTATGAGAACAAATGAGCGTGATATATAAAGCTGCAGTGCCAACTCAAGCCCCAACTCAAAATAAATGGAACACATTACTTCAATCTGCATAAAAATGATTGTCAGAATCATTCCCCGGAGAACCAGAATATTAACTGTTAAATCGGATTTCTCTTACAAAGAACAGATAGCCATTTCTTCAGCTTTAAGAGCCATCCTGACAAACTTACCGATCTTGACAAAGAGGCGTTCTTGGTGAATATTAGGAAGATGCCATAACTACCACTACAATCTCACATGACCATAGTGGATGTTCAGTTTCTATGGTAACATTAAAATTCATGTTCTATGAATATCTCGACATTCTTTGGGGTTTGCATACTGATATGTGTAGAAACAGCTTGTCACAAGCCTGACCTCACCGTCACATAACCATTGTATATAAATTGGTTTCTTCTGGAAATTCTATCTTGAGCAACGCTCTTGTCTTCTTGCCGACAAACAGGATTAAAATGTGGTAATTGGAACAAGTAAATTTGGTAAAATCTGTGCAATAGTTGTAGTAGCAAACATGGTCAAATATGCACTGAAATCTTGGATTCCTAATGTTAAAGGTGGTAATAACAAGGGCAGTGTGTTCAAAGCTCAGCAACACACTGCTTAAACATTTCAATCTTAAAAAGTCTGCTTATTAATACCATAATGTTACAATAAACTTGTAAAACTTCAACAAGTTACCATAAAAGAAAAAGCAGAACATGCTTTCTATTTCAAGATAATTCATCGAAGTATTGGGCAGCCATCGTCCAAGACATACTTTTCAAAAAAGCTATATATGGGGTATGGCCACCAAAACCAGTTGCTATCTAAAAGCATGAGACAAAACAACTTTTAGAATTGCCATTGACAGACTTCAATGCAATCTTCTGTCCTAGAACAATTACCAGCATTGGGAATCATTGTAAAACATTGTTCATACCCACGTAAAACCGCAAAAATCACATTTTATCAGTGCTGCATTCACACGGCTCATTAAAAAAATCACACATTTCATAGAACATGCGGCATCATTGTTTAAAAAATATATAATGTTCCTAATTTGGCTCAATTGTCCAGCGTGTCAAAGTTGGTGATATGGAGTGTTGTGAAAATTGCATTCCAGAACCTCCCCAATGGAAGAGTGGAACATGCCATCTCCAACACCCCCTTCACAGTAGAATGAACTGGTTCGCCTCAAGGCAGACAAACAGTAGGGGGGTCCTGGGTCACAACTATTCTTGTGTATGCGTCCGTCGTCCGTCCGTCCGTCCATGCTATGATTGGTACAGCAAATAACTCTTAAGGGAATTGGGTAGAGGAAGTCGGTGTATTTCATGTAATCTGTTCTTGCCCAACTGTTGTCGAACTGTGCGCCGACATATGTCCATGAGAGGCAATGGCTCAGCTGAAATGGAAATGAACATCATAAATAAAAAATTCATGTGAACATTGTGACTTGCTAAACTCATGCTAAACAACTACATTAATTTTTAAAATGTAACTGATGAATAATAGATCTATGGAGAGATGTTCCTATTTTAAACATATGGCCAGGGTTAGAAATTGGCACTAGTCCTATAGTCCTTGCCAAACTGCCTAATGGTAAAGGTATCACAAGGACTAGTAGAAAACTGCCATTTTTAAGGGTTTTGCTATATGTTATCATTATATCATGTATATGGACTAGTGGACGAAAACTGTTAGTTTCTAACGCTGATGGCACGTTCCATATTAACTTGCCAAAATGGACAATGGTGAACTGAGGTTTGTGATGGCTTACACCTTTTAGCGAAAAAACAACAAGAAAAACTTTTGTTAATGTAAAGATGGGTCCACTTTATACAGGGATAGAAATCAGCACTAGTCCGACATTTCCACTAATGCTAAAGGTTCCTAAGGGCTGGCAGAAATTCGGACATTTTGTTTTTATCCCAATGTTATCACTATTCCGACAACTAGATTTTCTAGGTTATTTCTATCCCTGTTGTATCGTAAAAGATAACCATAGTATATCCATAAAAACTGCTTTGTGTACAATTGGTATATAACTAGATCTAACAACAACAAAACCAGTTGAATTGCACTAATGAAATGAAAGCAGAAACATGTGTCCCCATGTTTCCCTACAAGCTGACTGACGATCCGCATAGGTGATTCCACATTTTAGATTCAATTCATCAGCTAGTCTGCAATTCGAGCGGTTTTTTAACCGACTCAGCAGTGAAAATGACTGCTGACAAAAAGCCCCAGATTTTACAGACAAGTGACTTGTAACACCCCACATCAGAACATATCAAAATAAAAATAATCAATGGCTGTCAGAAAATATTTGGGGATTGGATCTAACTCTGAGAATTGAACATAAGCAAACACAAAAATAGATTTCAGCTGAACAACAGATGCCTTGTGAGGATCTATAAATATCTATATTGTGACAGATGTGGCAGCTGTATTAAATTTACTTCAACACCACAGCCCTGCTTCAATATGCAGTGTCGGCATTAATAATTCCTACACTTCTCCCAGATCATGTAATGGCTATCAATAGTATCAAGGGTCAGGGACTTATCTACCAAAACTCAAACACAAATTTATCATTGAATCACAGCTTTGCATTCAATGCTCTAATGTTAAACAAAGCCTTGAAGCCCCTTCCTCTATACTGATGTCCTGAAATACAAGTCACCTCTACAAGCCATAACATTAGTTACAAACTACAACAGCATGAACTCGGAAATGTTTAATTCCAATTTGGATTTTTTTGGCGACATTTTTCAAAGACTATCGATCTCTAATCAGGTCTAGATAGACTGCTAATAGAACACACTGCAGAGGCAGCATCTGGAGAGTTACACACACAGCCAAACTTATATTGAAATACTTACGATCAAGGCCACCGATGTACCTCATTGTGATTTCACAATGGCCCCACACAGCACTGACTATGGGGTACAGCTTCTTCCCTTTCAGTCCCCTGAAAGCCACACCCAGGTATTGTCCGTCTACAACAAAACTCAGTGTTCCTTCATCCATATCTAACACAACTAGGAAACTGTCCGGCACCACAAAATTCTCATCTGGGTTTAACAGAGTGGGATATGTTAGTCCAGGATTGTTCTTCATATCATGGTAGAGTTTATTCCTGCCGAGATCCCAGCCCCAGGATTCTTTACTACTGCCGACTAGGCTCTGGTATCCCACACAGTGCAATGGCCCATCAGTTGTAGACACGCCCACCACTGCGTGGGTGCCTCTTTGTCGTGTACTCCACACAATTTCCCAAACATGGAGTCCCCTCGTGTAGCCCACTCGGCCACGAATACAATCTGTACTTTGAGCAACAGGATGCCGATGAAACGTCATAGCATCATCATCCTTAACGAATATATTTAGAGATCGGTCGTCCGGATTCCAGGCATGAGACAGTTGCACGTCCCTTGGCGCCGGAGGCATGTCCAAGAGTGCGTCAAGACGACTAGGTTTTTGGAAATCTGGATTGTACGCTGGCTCTCTGTTGATAGCCTTGTATGTTGGTTCTCGTGAATTAGAAATAGTTTTAATACCACCCGATACTTTCTGGCCCATGTTCATTTCTTGAACTACACAACCAGTACACAGAAACTGTATAGTGATCACAGTGATCCTAAATAGCAGACTGAGTCTACACTAGCACTGCTCATTTGACAGGGTGGGTAGCTGGACAACACTGCCTGTCTTACACAATTCCTGGCTCCGGCAACAACACCTTTCCTGACAACAGAAAACACACAGGTTACATTTTCCTCAAACCCAATCACAACCATACTTAACTACCACAAAACACCTACACTGGGAATTGGTCCCATAAATATGACAAACAAATTAATAATTGATCATTGATGAACCAAGGTGAGTAATACTAACAACGGTAATGTCAGTGAATTTGCAAGTCAAACTGGTGTCTAGACATTTTAAGTGAGTGAGTGAAGGAGTTAATTCGGTTTTAGTACCACTTAAGTATTCCAGTTATCATGGTTTATATCATAGCATTTCAGTTTACTGTGGAAGGAAAGCTTGAGGTGATGACGTTAACCACTTTGGTGAAACCCATGCATGGGTATCGCGCTGAAACCTAAAAGAGCGTACCGGGATGCAATGAGTGAGTGAGTTGGGTTGGGTTTAACGCCGCTTTTAACAGTATTCCAGTTATATCACGGCGTGTCAGCTTAATGTGGGAGGAAAGCCTGAAGTGATGCAGGTCTCGGACGTTTACCACTTCGGTGAAACCCTCGAGCACGGGTATGGTGCTGACAAACCTAGAAACATAATCGGGGTGAACCAGGATTTGAACCCACAATCATAGGTTTCTGGCGTGCCCAAGGGATGCATCTCTGCACAGCAAATCACGGCGCCTCAGATGAATGGGTCACCCGTGCCCCCTAGAGGAATACAAGTCTGCACAGTGAAATACAGTGCCTTCCCTGTGACCACTATTGATTTATTCAACTTTTGACAAAACGTATCATCTTAATCATTACCAACTTTAAAAAAAATAAATGTTTCGGACAATTTGGATGACAATGTCCTAAACGAACAGATACGATAGGATCCCTGTAAGCTGAATGGTGTCTGACACCAAAGTCATCAATAATATTGTTTTATCACAGAGACCTGTCATCAGAGCATGTTTAAACAAAGGTGACAGACACACATTGTTACCACCTGATCCTCATTATAGTCAGCATTTAACAAGAATGGATTGTTGCTCATGGCATCAACCACTAGCCTGACCAACATTGTGAACTCGAAAAGAGATGTCACAATATGTTAAGTATTATAATACTTTGGGTGCAATACGATTCGTATCGTATCCCGATACAGTATGGTACTCCTTTTAATTAAGTTGATATTCTTTCTTTCAGCCTGGCAATCACAATCCTGAATCATTTGTTTCTAAATTTCAGAGGTGGAAGATGGGATATTGTAGGGTAGAAATATAGCCTAGAGGGCACTGTGAATGTTATGTTGTGTATAGTCAACCATGAAATACCAGAGAATCTGCCTATACTGGTTGTTGAACAGTTTGTGTTATTATTCATGTTTTTACACCAATACAACTTGTAATGTGTCAAATATATCTCGATACAGTGCTTGTAAACATGGTAAATTGATGTATAGTATCATGGGCCTCATATTAGGATACAATACTGTAACGCCGTTTAGCTCCACCACTAAACCAGATACAATTCTAGCAAAGGGCACATAAACCCGACACTTACCTTCATCTTCATTCTAATGACATAAAGACAATTGATTTAATATACAAATATCATTTCAATATCCTTACGTGTTTAATCTACGCTTATTCTACTACTTCTGTTTTCTCAGACTAATGGTTAAGCAACGTTAACTGCAAAACATTTCAGATTTTGAAATGCCTGAAAGTAATGGGAGCCTTGTCATAACACAAATGTTAAAAGTTGAAATGTATGAGGCCCTCAGATTCAACTACCATTGCAGCAAACCTCTAGGGTACAAAATGGGATATAAAAGTATCAAAAGCAAAATAGCAATGCAATGAATAAAAAGTACATAATTATGATAATATACTTCTATGTATACTGTAGTGGCAAAAGACATCAAAACAGTGTGTGAGTGTGGTTTTACGCCGCATTTAGCAATATTCCAGCAATATCACGGCGAGGGACACCAGAAATGGGCTTCACACATTGTATCCATGTTGGGAATCGAATCCGGGCTTCGGCATGTGAACGCTTTAACCACTAAGCTACCAGAGCTCCCCCGCCAAAACAGACACTTTGATACATATACATTACATACATAGCTTGGTAAACAATGTAATATATACAAACATATCTAATGCGTAAAAATAGCAAAATCAAGATTGACTTGTCATCTGGTTTCGAATTCTGTATTTCAAAATAAATCAAGACGTCAAGCGGTCCTTGTCTTAACCATAATGTTACAAGTTGAACATCAAGGTCCCTACATTAAAATACAAATGCATCAAATCTCAATGACCCCTAACAACGTCCAACACTGAAATATGTATCCATCATCCTGCAAAAGAAGCCACTGTCTGTAAAATTTAATTAGCAAATGCCCTAAAAAACTCACTTAAATATTAAGGTTAACTTTCAGTAGACGTATCATGAGCCTTGCAACTCTTTTCTCGTAGCACACAAAATAATTGAAAATCTTACTTCCATCTGTTGTCAACTACCATCCAAAAGTGGCAAGCCAGATAAAATTAGTGAAAAAGAAATATCTCCCAGAGTATCATTGACTGAAAATTGACCCAAAAGCTTTATGTAACAATTCTAGCAGTAATGTTACGTAATTCACCGATTAGCACATGTCGCTCATCAGCTGGAGGCCCACAAGGGGGCAGCACTGGGTCATAATGGGTTCAAATAGCCAGGGGATCCTACAGCTAATGCATCACTAATAGCAAACTTCAAGGATGTAGAATGCATGGATGCACATTCGACTAATCTCACCACTAAGTCAACAACTTTGATTGTAGCTCATGAGAATAAAATCTGATGAATGGTGTCTGCTTGTTTGTTCTAAGTAAAAAGAATCATTTATTTACAGCGTCATAGCAGCAATAGAGACTAGAATATGTTGATACTGTATTTTCTTGAGTAGTGTGCAACCAAGCAAAATGTGCATCCCCTCTAGGGGATTCAGTATATTGGAAAATATAAAACGATACAGCTCAACTGTGGAGTAAAAGTAAGGTGAATACACGTACTGCTACTAACTCTAAAGCCACAGTCAGCGTTATTTAAACAGTATCGCTGATGTGTAATAACCCTAGACTAGGCAAACCATTTATTATTATAATTATAGACCAAATTCACACACTATGGTAACATTCTAAGAACCAGAAGAAACATTTTGACAACCCAATCCTCATTTATTAACTTTAGGGAAACACTGACGAGGCCCAACTCTGACTTTGAATTCTGATGGTTCAGTGAATACAAAATCATTAATCGTGTTAATTAATGCTTAACTAGAAAACTTAACCTCAACATACTCTAGAATGCATATTCTATTTTAATCTTTTGGAAGGATATTGTGTGAATACATGTAATTCATTTTAGTTCCCCCCGTTAGCTTTAAATGTTCCTTGTTAAGACCTGATCTAAAATTGAAGTAATGTACCCACTGGTAGAGTACTAATACAATCACATACCTTACAACAACATCCCAGCAGCTATTTAGTCAGTTGAGTACATGCATAAGTCATGGGACCAAATCGATTAGGTTAGAAAAGGACTGATTTGTGCTAAGGCAACGGTCAAGTTAATTGTCAAAATTTGCACATGCAGCATTTGGCAAATCCTGGCAATAGATTGTGAAATGGTTCACAACACCTACTTAACAAAAAAGGCCTAAATTTGTGTAATTTTATCATGAAAATACAGTTTGACATGTGACACATCATTATCAGCTGATCATGTCCCTTGCCATGCATGCTGGTTAATCACAAACTCATGTTAGTAAGTAGTGAGGAAGCTAAAATATTTCACAGTAAGTTGATTCTTCTGTGAAAATACAGAAAATCTAAAGTCTACCCTAAATACAAACAAATGACAAAAGGTATATGCATACAACATATCTCAATTAGCATAAGTCAAAAAACCATTTTCAAGCATTGAAAGACATGTGAATGTTTTAGGCCAAATAAAAAACAAAAACAAATTTAACAGCTGATTATGACAAAGAAGTTGTCTATGCCTTTGTTATGCCCAAAACTCATAGGCTTATCTTTGTCATAACATTGTTCAATGAATGTTTGTAAACAAAGACATTTATGTAAGTCAAGATCGTCAAATCAAATTAGCTGATGAAAATTAACATAACGAATGTATATAGTGAAGCATGAGTAAAAAATAGGACACCTCGATCAGCTGTGAGTTAGTATGGCCCTTCCCTGCGTTCGCTCAACACATGCCCCAAACAATGTCATGTTCTTTTGTTCAGGTCAAGTCGTGTCCCCCAGCTGACGATTTACACAGAATTGGATTAGAATGTGATTCTCTATGTATTTATGAACTATATTTAATAAGCCATCTACCTGAACTAGCATTTATAGAATATACAAAAACAAAGAATACTTTCAACGTTAAATTATCCCATTGTACAATGACACTAGTTTGCTGGCCTTTGTTGTCAAGCGAAAACATACCCATTGCCGATGAAAAAAATCAATTGTGCTACGTTGGAGGCCTTGTGCTAGAATTGGAGGCTGGAAATTCATCGGTCCGAATTTTAGATACTGTAACACGAGGTATACTCTTTCAGAGTGGATGCACGAATTTCTAAGAGAAACTTGACAGACTCAACGTCGTCGCCATATGTAGCGATACTATGGTCGTGCCCAGCGAAACAAGGGTCGCTCTCGCAAACTTACCCACATACATTACTCACCTCGTCTAGAAAGCTCCCTTATCGGTTGGACAGACTTATTACACATTCTACTAACATCTGTGGAGTAAAAACTGACTAAAACCAATGAAATAAAATAGATATACTCTTTCTAAGTGACTCATATTCTGTCCAAATGAGCCATAATAGAAAACCAAAATGGCGAGCTATATTGGTGTATCACGTGACTCGCAATATCATGTGACGTCACAAGTTTAACAGCGTGGATTTCCCTTTTCTGTCATAGGCTGTAATCGCGAAATCAATAATCACACCACTTCAAAAGCCAGAAGGAAAGAGGATTCTGCGATTCACCCATTCTTTGTACTTAGCAAGTTATCTGCCATCTATTTCATTCTTTAGATAATTTAAATGACTAAATACAAGTTTATCCCGGTATATACCCTAAGACCACGTAAGACCGCACCAAAATTGCAACATTGTGTCGGACATGGATGGAGTGAGTAGGTATCTGTTTTAAAGTCAACTAAGAAAATCAGGTCTCTGTTAAATGTGGGAGCAGGCTAAAGTCAAATATATTTTGGGGACGTGGCGTATATTGTGGTGTCCGCTTGCATCAGAGCGGCAGATGGCGTTTGCTGTTCCGCTCAATTGTTATGAAAATCGAGGGACGCTATTTGAGTGTACATATGTCGCCCTTAACGCCAGAAAGGTCAGGGGGAATAATGTCTTAAGTTTTTGTAAGTCATTTCGCCGAAACGTTTAAAAAACTTAAAAACAGGAAATAAGTCGTTCTGAATTGCTCTACACAAAAAACAACTCCCTGGTATTGTGAACGAGAGAAAATTGGATTTAGTCCGAAACACCGTGATGGTTGTGTAATAGGACAGTTGTTACACCGAGGCAAACACGTGCCAAATGTGATTGTCGTTTTGGGAGTCACTCAAGCGGAAATCTATTGTGCTGCAACGGACTTCCACGCGTCAGGACAGCTGTCGGTAATTGAGGCCAAGCACTATAGCCCTTGTTAATGGGGACAAAATCCCGAAGTAATAGAGTATAGCGCCTGGAATTAGGTTTGACATGTCTTTGAGAGGCATTTAGCTGTTAGGTAACTGATGAAAAACTAATACGGATTACGAATTTAGTTTTTTTGTCACTGCTGATCATCCATATTATTTTGTCATCATTTATTTAGTAATTGTATGGAAAACGTGTTGCCAAGAACAGGGGAACAGGTGAGGTGAAATGGGGTTTAACGTCGCGTCCAAGATTATTGCACTTATATAGCGACGTATATTTTCGTGTGTGTGTTAGTGTGGCTGCTTGTACTAGTCCGCACTGATGCCGATTTATAGTGCTAGCTCACTGAGATACCATGCCGCAGTTTAACATGAATACCCCACTCAGACACAGTATACTGACTCCGATCCGACCAGTCCTTGTTCTAGCCCCTCAATGCCGAGCGCCAGAAGAGAGTACCATCTTTTGGTATGACGCGGCCGGAGATCGAACCCCGGACCTTCCGCTCTCCGGGCGGACGCTCTACCACTAGACCACGGAGGCGGTCAACAGGGGAACGGCATGGTGTGTGGCTTATATATTGTGATATATACCAGTGTGTGAAATAATGCTTACCAACACGAGCTAGGGGGTATATATAATCTGGTACTAGCCAGTTTTATATTTACATAGCCAGTTGTTTTTACCCTACCAGATACAAGGAGAAATCAGGTAGCAGAGAGGGACAATTATTTCAAGTTTCAACAAAGTTAGAACAACAATCTGTGTCAATGAAACACATGTTATATTTGGGATAACACTTTCTTAGTAAAGTACAGATTCTCGTACCTTTTTGGATTGAGTCCTGCCCGGGATTTGAACCCACACTGCCAGAGTGAGGCACCTAATTGCCAGCACACAAAGCCAGCGGTCTTACCCGCCCAGCCACCGAAGCTTCGACAAAATGAAAGTCCGACAACTGGTAATCTAGATCACGTACTTTGTGTACCTCTCTGACAAGTGAATCAATGAAGTCTTTGATAGGCTTTAGACGTTTGAAGAACATGAGTGATTTGGGTTTAACGCCGCGTTTAACAATATTACAGTTATATCACGGCGTGTCAGCTTAATGTGGGAGGAAAGCCCAAAGTGATGCGGGTCTCAGACGTTTACCACTTCGGTGAAACCCACGAGCACGGGTGTGGTGCTGACAAACCTAGAAATAATCGGGGTGAACCGGGATTCGAACCCACAATCATAGGTTTTGGGCTTGCTCAAGGGACGCAACTCTTCACAGCGAATCGCGGCGCCTCAGACGACTGGGCCATCCGTGCCCCCTTAAAGAACATGAAACATGGATATATGACAGCTGCGATTACTCTGTATTACCCTGATACTTTAATAAAACAAACAACCAAACGCCACCCTGGATCCGCCACTGGTCAATACTGAAATATATTCTTTCCTTGAATCCTCAACCGGGTTCTGGTGGAGGTCACGTGACGAATCAAAGCTGGTTTACAGCAGTCACTGTTGGGTGTAGTTGTTCTATATATAGAATGTAACCCTATACACAACTCACCGCTAATTAAAATGGCCGCCCTTGATGATTACATTAACACATTGTCTAGACCTACGCTGGTCATGACCACCAGACCGTGGACAAGCTAATTCCCCAAATCTGTTCAAACTGTGACCAGCGTATATATGCCATTGATTACACCGACTTTATGGGCACTTTGTAGTCCTGTCTGGTCTTTATTTGACAATACCATATTAAACCGATTAAATCGTTTTTCTTTTTTTTGTGTGTGTCTTTTCAGCGAACTTATTCTTTCATCATAATATTATTCGCATATTCATGATAACTTTTCAGTGTTAACCTTGATGAGTCGTAATTGTGAGAAAATATTATTGCAACTTTTATTTCCCGCTGAAAGTTCTTCTAGGATAAGAAACATAAGTATTTCGTCTTCTTATCAATAAAGACAAGCCGATTGCTGAAGGGAGATAACTCTTGCAAGGCAATGCGCTGCGTCAATGATTTGGCTGCTGCACAAATTTGTGTCGGAAACTTGTTGTCACTTTACATTTTTAAAAAAAAAACTTCAGCCATGATACGGTATGGATTACAAGCTTATCCAAATACCCCTGCGGAAAATGAGTAACAAACATGGAATTTACGCGTTCATTAACACATCTGTCAATGGGCAGGATCCTTTTTAAGTAAAAGCAACTTAATGACATGCATAACATTATAGTTTTTCGGAATTTTGCCTGTCACTTGAAGGCATATGAAGATGTTTTCCAGGTTAGGCTCATATCGACGCATTAATAAAAAAATAAAATGAGGTGGGGTGGAGAGTAACATCGAGTTCAAGATTATTCCATATACACTCTTCAAATAAAGACACGCACAGGTAGATTTTTAGTAAATTTATTGTACCTAATAAAGTCAATCTATTTAATTTAATATCATATACACAAAGAAAAAGGTTAAGCACAGCCTCATATATTTTATTATTGTTAGGTCCTTATATTTGTAACAGTCATGAAAGATATAATTACGGGAAGAATTATGTTTTCTCGAGATGGTGTAATCAGTCATGCGTGACGAAAGCTCACGTGCCATGCATGGTACGCCCGTGCAGCATGCTACCCTCGAGTATCTCTAAAAGCAGTATATCCAAACGTTAAAATTGCTTTCTTAAGCTCGGTTTTAAACAGTTATTCCATGACATTGTGTGGCCATGGCACGAAGGCGATAATCAAACGCCACAAGATGGCAAATAATCGGCATGCATAACGCAGGAATATCTTGTAATGCCATTGGTCGGAATTTGGGGTTTAGTCGAGAAACATGCTCATACCGGTGATGTACAGGACCGTCCCAGATCATGTGGCGACTCATCGCGAAGACAGGGACCTTCTCCGTCTCATACGCCGAGAACTCTTTTTAACAAGTACTCGTCTGAAACAGCTGTGGTTGCCCAATCGTCGTTTCAGCACCAGAACCGTCAGGAACCGACTGAAAGCGGCAGGACTGAGAGATAGACAAGTCATAAAGCTTTCCTTGTTGAGAGATCACCACAAAGCTGCTCGTTTAGCATGATGAATAGCGCGACAGAACTTGAATCTGAGAACTTAGAGACGGATCCATTGGTCAGACGAAAGTCGCTTTCTGCTCCACGTCACTGATGGAAGAACGAGAGTTTGGAGGCACCGGAACACGGCCTACAGCCCCAGGAACATTAAACCGACTGTTGCATACGGCAAGGCAATGGTTTGGGAGTGTATCTCTCATGATTGCAGGTTGGATTTGGTCACAATATGGGACATTTTCGCATGAAACATCAAACGTAACTCGTTTACTTAATCCTGCAGCACCATACGGTATTGTCTAAGGTCCAAAACAGTACCTGTGTTACCATGATGTTTTTGTCAGTAAATTTCAATCACAACTCACCTATCTTGTCAAATGTTTGTTCTGTCCGATGACATTGGTATCGCCCAGCTCCTGTGATCAGTCATCCCATGCCATGATTTTTGCCATTTGTCATGGTTCAGAAATAGGGGTGTGCTTAACTTATTTTCTTTGTGTATAGATAGAAATATAAAATTTTGGAGCTCGATAGTCACATGTTGTCGGTGTACGAAGGCACTGAAAATTGTTCATTGTCATGCCACATAAGGCCACAAGGTTGCGCTGAACTCTTGTATCTCGTGTGACCGCCCCGGGCATCAATCACGCCTCTGCATCCCCTGGACTGGATAAGTGTACGAATTCTCTCCTGCGGAATTCTGCGCTATTCTGCGGAATTTTGCGCCATTCTGCTTGTAACGCGTTGGCCAGTTGTGGGAGTGTCTGCGGCGTGTTCTGACGTTGACGTTCTCGTCGATCGGGTTCATCCCAGAGGTGTTCGATTGGGTTGAGATCTGGAGATCTCAACGGCCAGGGCAAAACGTTGATGTTGGCATTATGAGGTAGTGTACCGTGACACGAGCTGTGTGCGGTGAAGTGTTATCCTGTTGAAACAGCTCCCTCTTGCGGTCAATGATGGGAAGAAAGTGAGGTTGAAGAATTTGATTCATGTCGCGATTTGTAGGGTATGCCTCCCCCGCCCCCCGCCACCGAAACTATCGAATTAACGTTCACAATGTGGGGTAAAACGCTCATTTCGACGACGATAAACACGCTGTCTTCCATCTCGGCGGTGAAGAAGAAACGCAA